AGAACCTACCATACAAGTGCATCAGATCAAATTTTCACACCGTTTACCACTGTGAGATGAAATTATCGGGACCAGAGTGGTAAAAGCAGTGACAATATAAGTAGTAGTAGAAGCGGTTAGTCATAAACAATATAATTTGAAAAGAGTGGATTCACAGAATAAAAATTAAGAACAACTCCAAAGTTCAAAAGTTAAGGGGAGACAGACAGTAAATGGATCTGCACTATTGTAACCGATTTTGAGCCATGCCAATCAACGTTCCCAACCATTAAGATAATTGCATAAGCTTTAACCAGGCAGTCAGAGCCTTCATATATGATAAAGTTCAACAATAAACAACTTTATAAACTGATGCTACATTCTGACTTGGCTGTCCCTAGTTTTCTTCCAACTTACTAATACAGTAGCCCACACTGTAGGATGAGGTGTTAGGCGGTGGTTGGATGGTATTTATGTAACACTCTTAATAGTATTCATGATCACTTTATTCACTTAAGTTTAAGTAGTCAATTAACAATCATAAGCATAGCTGAAATTCGAGTGCATAAAGCTGTATTTGATAAATGGGTTCAGTTTTACAGATCACAGATCGCGTAAACTCTGTGATCTATCATTATCAATATCACGTATAAAGCAGCTTGTTTCAGTTATATGTAGCCAAAAACCAAACTTCACTATTACACAAATAACTAGAAATCGAAAAACCAAGTAGCAAGCTACAAACAATGTACCGAACACTACATAATTGACATTATCTTGATCGTTCTGGTTAAAAAAAGTCAACACATTTTTTAAACATTCTCGACGCAACCAAGAAAAATTCCATGCTACAATAAATACTATATATATCGACAGCCGATATTTAGATCAATTCATCTTGAATATTCTGTGCTTGATAATTTATTTTAAAGCGAAAATAGAAACTAAATAAATAAATAGATATTAGGTACTACTACGTATGTTATTCGAAAATTCCATCTAGTAAATATTTTACAATGCATGAGCATGGAAAGTAAGACTTTGATAGAGGAATCTAATTGTTTTTCTATTCCTACACATCATAAATACATGTGAAGCCTTCACAAATTCAGCGCTATTACGGGTAAATGAAAAGGTATAATACTAATATACAGGTATTTAACGTAAAGTTTGGCATATAATGTGCATTGATCCAAGTTACCATATCGTATCAACACAGTGAGATATCAGAGTACGCTAAGAAGAAATGGTATTCGTGATAGTAGAAAAAATTAGGCATAGATGATGGGATTCGAAGAAAAAATATGAATTTGTTGGATAAAAAATCGAAGATTACTATGAAATTTAGAAGTTAGGGAAAGATAAAGAATGAATGTACATACATCATTTTGAATGATCCTAAGCCATGTTACCCGTAATCTCTAATCGCGTAAACGTCGGCCAAGGAATCTCTACCTATTTATACAACTTAGTCCAATAGTTAACTCCATGGTCTGATCTTACGTTTTGATTTGGATGTTACAACTCATAAGTTACTAGTAGACTGGGCAATGAAGATGTAAATGGAATGGACACTGCGACAGGTGACAGGAATGAGGGTACTAGAAGCGAATGAAGGATAACTAGATAAACAGAAAGACACACCAACGCACTAGTCCGAATAAACATGTACTAACTCAAACCGTCACCTTTTTACTAATAGCATATAAAAAATATAATGAATTATAGAAAGACAGTAAGATAACAATTAACAATGTAAAAATATAAGAAACGATAAAATATTCAATGTATTGTTAGTCTAAAGTCGTTGAGATTGTTAAATTTCATTGAAACCACGAAACAATCTAAGTTCGATAATCATTGAAAATCTGGAAGCACCGGACGGCCGTTACGTCCTAATATGGACCGTAGAGTTCTATAGGGTCGGGTGTGAAGAGAATACCCACAGAAAACAATGATAGATAATTGTGTAATATCGTTGATTGATTGGAATTAAAGATTAACAACATTTCATGCTGACCCAGTTGTCCAGAGGTTAAGCGATCGTGCTCGAAACCGAAGGTCATGAGTTCGATTCCCAGGCGCGATGTTATAGATGCGCACTGCCGAGGAGTCTCATGCTAAGAGGAAACGGCTGTCCAGTGATTCCAAGTTTTCAATGATAGTTCAACTTAGATGTGCTCGTAATTTAAATGATATTCAGGATATATTGGGTTTAAAGTGAATATGAGGTGGGTTGTTTATATAAGATAAAGTGTTTTGCATAGAATGTGACACGCTTTATTTTTATATTTTAATGCAATAACATTTCCACATTAATTTACTGTATTTATCACGGTTTAAATGCACTCACACACAGTCGCGGTGACTACAATAAGTTTGATTATATCTGGGATTTCTGTTGTGATAAATACATACAATATTGTTAATTATTACATTATATAACTACTCTCTGTGATCGACTTTAAACTATGTTATCATTAGTGATTTCAAATTAACCGATTTCTGTAGTTTAAAAATCCCCATAGAATACTAAAATATGAACAATATTTGAGCGAACAATTATTTTCGATAACTTCATCTTCAGGCTCTATAGTTATAAGTCCATAATGATTGTGATATTTTTACAAAGGCCAAAATAATGCATGTATTAATGAATTTGACAATGTTATATGTTAAAATAAATGGTGAACGTTTGCATCTGTTACGATATATATATATATACTTCAAAATAGTGTTATTTGCAAATTAGATAGGTCATTTAATGAAGTACAGAATGATTTGGAGTAAAGTATTCAATCACAATCAGTATAGCAGTAATATAGCAAAAATGAAAAAGAATGAAAATCGTGTGAATAAAATACATGGTAGGAGAATTTCATCTTGTCAGTTGAGATAATAATAATAATAATATTGTTGTGTGAATGTACTATGTAATAAGAGGGATGTTATCAAGGTAATTACGATAATCAAAAAAAATTCATGTGAATTAGGAATGATGGATGTAAAGATCAAAATAGATGTAATCAAAAAAAGAGGGGGTAAGATGTTTATAATATTTAGTTTAGGTATCCGGTAATCCATTCGTAGAGGCTGAATATACCTTTTCTGGATACATAAGTTTGGTTTTCTGGAGGACGATCCAGATGCCTTCGGCTATGTAGAGATGCCGTAATCTAGCTGCCCGTCTCTTTTTTTTATTATATCTATTTTAACCTTCACATCCATCATTCCCGATTCGTTTATCGTAATTACCTTGATAACACCCCCCCTTATTACATATTATATTCACACAACAATATTATTATTATTATCTCAATTGACAAGAGTAAATTTTCCTACTATGTATTTTGTTCACGCGGTTTTTTGCATTTTCAACTTGGCTATAATACTATTCTAGTTATTGTGACTGAACACTTTACTCCAAATCATTCTGACCTTTATTGAATGACCCTTCTAATTTACAAATAATACAATTTTGAAGTATATTTATTGTAACAGATGCAAACGTTCACCATTTATTTTAACATATAACATTGTCAAATTCATTAATACATGCATTATTTTGGCCTTTGTAAAAATATCACAATCATTATGGGCTGATAATCGATTTCTATCATTTCGAGGATCTGAATCAAAACATTTGCATCTCTATAAATTTAAAATTATTTAACGAAATAAGGTTTATTGAAAGATAAAACAATTACTGAAAAGAGGATTCTGAAAAACGAATACTTAGGGAAAAAATTCAGTAAATATGATATAGAATATATCCAGAGAATTCTACATCTCCGATTGTTAGCGAAAAAGAAAGAAGTTTCTTCCGCTCCACTTCAGCTTCAGATACTTTTGCATACAAACAAAACGGGAGCGTAGTAAGCAGTCATCAGCTATAATAAAAACTAACTACCATGAAAGAGCTTTTATCTTCTTTACCGATTCACTTATCATTCATTTAATTTTCTATGGACTGTACCATCTAATTAAGTAATCACTAGTTTCCAACATAAGTAATATGATTTACGACTTCAAAACACTCATATCTTACGTGTAGTAATATTGTCAAAGTAGACTACGATTGATGAGAAGGCTTGTTATGGGCATAACAATTCATTTTCTTAAATGGATATTTCTTTTTTAATTCAATTTGGAATGACTTTGATTATCCCGTTGTTGATAATTTTTTATACTAAAATTCAATCAGCTTTGGTTGGCATATAAGCATCTTGTGCGGATTGGCCTGATATATCTCCATTAAGATACAAGTTGATATAAAATAGACGAAATGTGACTAACATTCGGAATCTAGAACGTATGTAAACAGAGCCTTAGAAATATTGCTGGCATCTGCTGGGAGTTAGACGCAGGGTTAGGGAATGATGGTAATGGTGAGATTATGAATCTTCATCGACTGAGATGGTTGGGCCACGTATTACGTATGCCTGAACACCGATTACCACGACGTGCAATGCTGAGTAGTGTAGGGGATGGTTGGAAGAAAGTTAGGGGCGGCCAAACCAAAACGTGGCATCAGTGCCTGAAGTCACTAACTTCTAGTCTGAGCCATGTTGGTAGATGCAGACTATGGCGTCGGTGTAACACTCCCTGTCTTCCCTTAAACTAAGAGATTAAAATACTTCATATCTTTATGAATCCGGTGTTCATCTTGCTGTGCTAATGAGGTATGGCAATCTGGACCGATGCACATATGTGCCTGGTCCTACGTTGTAGCTGACTGACTGACTGACTGATGTTTCATCTAATTTGGGACTCGTCAATTGAATTTATTTGCATTCCAGGGTTGATTTTCTTTCTGGAATTCGAAAGCAGTACCGTTCATTTCAAACACCAACAAATTATCTACTTAGCGCATCCTAGTTTCCAATACCAACCGTATTTCATTTATTCTATATCAAACTATATCTTTTTATTGTACTTCAAAAATTATCAAAAGAGTCAGATAAATGAAATACATTTAATTGAATAAAATTACATATAAACATATAAATGAAATATAATACCGTAGAATAAATGCTGTTTGACGAATATTTGTAATGATTTCTTTATTAGCATCAAAACGACCAATTAAACGACGTGTACATTCTGAGTTTAAAGCTCGTGCTACTAATGAACCATATGAAATATGAAGCTAAATGAAATAGAAAACAAAACAAAATCTTTATAAGAAAATAGAATAAAATCATCATTTGATTATATAAAAATTACTGACATGTGATATATATTCTGATAGATAAATTGTTAATTGAATTAATTTGAATAGAATATGCATTTTGTTGTATTCGAGGATTGTAATTTATTTTTTTTTCTTCTTAAGCGGGATATTCTTCTTCTTTTTACGCCTGTTACTCCTAATGGAGCATAGGCCGCCGACCAGCATTCTCCAACCCACTCTGACCTGGGCCTTCTTTTCTAGTTCCATCCAATTCTTGTAGGATATACCTAGATATTAATTTTTTTTATATTGAAAGTAACAAATCCATTCAACTCTATTAGTACGTTATTCCTTAGAATAATGGATCATAACAATCATCAAATTACTTATTGAAAATAAATAGATGATAGAATAAGCACACTCATTATCAAATGTGGTTGATCATAGTTTTATTATTTCCTAAATTTCAATTACGTATTCTAATTGCTCTATTGACATTTCCTAGATATACAATGATAGAACTTAGGCTAAGAAAGAAAATAGTTACAGATTATCACTTTTCATGTTAACTGAATGTTAGTCTATAATCCAAGAAGATCATACAAAAACATAGTATGAGTGATAGCTTTTGTTTAGTAGCCAGAACTGTATAAGGAAGTATACACTGTTTTATGAAACTTTACAAGATGTTCACAAAAAGAACTCAGCAGTATAATTCAGAATAACATGTTTATTATCAAAATTAATGACTTGAATGCAAATAATAAACAGTGTATTTTGTAAATAAAGGGTAATGCCTTTAAATTATAACGTTAATGAAGATATCTTAAACATGATATATATCGCAATTGTCTACAGATTGAACAAGTTTATTCTAAATGAACTAGTAACAAATCATATGTTACAATGATATATATATATATATATATAATATATATATATATATATATATAAGTTTAGTTAATAAGAAAAGTTCTATAACTCATTACAGTTTTGATGTGAATAGAGAAAGAGGTTATAACAAACAACGGAAGCTATTTTTGAGGACATTGATTCACTTAATTCAAAGTTTGCGAACTATTAACATTTATTTTTACCTTTAAGCTATTCTGTAAACCATAAACTTTTGTTTAATGCATAATTGACTGACATATCTTGTTCTCTTCCAAAATTATTGTGATTTAAATGTAACCTTTTGTGATCTAATTGTCTACTGTAATGCCTAGTTTCGACATAATTGTATCTTTCCAATTTTCAGTTTGGGGTTGTGGAGATTGTTGAATTTCATCGAAATCACAAACCGATCAATGTTAGACCACCAATGAAAATATGAAAGCACTGTACGGCCGTTTCATCCTGTTATGGGATTTCCCAGCAGTGTGCACCTGCGACCTCACAATCGGGAATTGAAACCAAGACCTTCGGTCTCGAACACGAACACTTAACCTCTGAATGACTGAGCCGGCACCCAATGGTGTTAATGTCTCACTTCAACCAATTCATGATGTCGCGCGTCCAGTGCTTCCTGGTATTCAATAGTGGTCTAATACTGATCGGTTTATGGTTTCAATGAAATCCTTCTAATTGTTCGTGAGTTGTGGTTGTGTTATATATTTTTTCACTTATATCTGAATGAGGAATAAATCGAATAATATTCCAGTTGACTCGTCTTCTCTCTTGTCTGTCGACCAATAAGGTGATAAAGCAGTTTCATCTCTCTTCCCAAAACCGTCAGTCTCAATTCCGATTCACGCATTTCTAATCTCAAGGTTGAGCCACTTAGCCTATCTTGTCAAGGCCTCTACCTAGATCGAGACAAGTTCTCTTCTGTATATTACTGGGTAAACGGATCATATAGTTATAACCAAGATTTATATAAGGATAAAAAATCACCTAACCAGAACAATACGCATCATACTAGTGTGCTATATTATTTTTCTTAAAAATACCATTCAGAAGGTTGTATAGAATCGTGTACTTGTCTTCGGGTAACGCTTAAATTGTGAGAGGTTGTGGTAATATTACTACAAAAACTACTAATCAGTTGCCTGAACTGAAATAAGAAGAAAAGGTAATGAACTTATGAGGTTTTGGTTAAAATTCGAAAAACTTGACCAGTGGGCAAACACACAGCATACAAAAAAACTATCAACGATTTAAACAATTACGATCTACATTCTGACACTAACAATCTCAGCATGATCAGAAATAGAGAAAGGGAGTAAACTAACGATATGAAAGGCAAAGAAATGGAAACTGTAATCATTATTAATATAATGGTAAAATAAATAATCAGAATATAGTTTGAAAAAGAAAATGAATACAGTAAAATTAGATGGAGATAACGAATGAATGGGGCTACACCACATCTAACCTCTACAGCTGTTTAATATGTATATACCAATAATAACAATAATAATAATGATCAACAGTGATTTATGCATATTGTCAAATTGTTTATATTCAAAACAGGATTGATCAAAGAGAATAAAATAGAGCGCGTGAAACATGTGAGTGAAATGAAATAAATACACATTGTTATTTTTCATCATATTAAGGAATTTTTTTGTAAAAAAAATTGTTATCGGTTGAATAACCAATAAAAAATATGGAGCAGTGAACTGATGGCTCATTCTAATCTAGAACTAAATCTTCAAAAATGAACACTAAAGACTAATCCAGGTGTCGAGTTCCGGATATGTGGATTTCACAATGAGCACAATATCTTGAAAGCATTAAGTTGGAATTTGATCGTCCACAATTTAAAATTCAGACAATATACGATAATGTGATAATCATTTAATGTTATCAATGAATTTCTACATAACTAGAGGTTATACAGAGACCTTATGTAACACATATCTGGAAACCTGTCGCGTAGGTACAATGTATTCACTCTGTGTCTTCGTCTATATAGTAAAATTTCAGACTTTTTCATAATTCGTATTTTATCGTCCTATACATTCTATTCGAAATATGTTTTGAATGTCAGAATTTTAACTATCGCACATAGTAATATATTTACTTACACCTGTTACCCTTCGCGGAAGTGTATACGCTGCCCACCAACATTTTCCGTCCAAACCTATCCTCAACAATCCTTCCCAATTGTTCCCAGTTGCTATTTATCCTTTCCATGTCTGTTCCCAATTCTCGACGCAGTATTTTCTTTGGCCTTCCTCTTTTCTATTTCCCTTCAAGATTCCAAGTTAAGACTTGCCTCAGGATGCAGTTTGACGATTTCTCCAATGTACGACCCATCCACCTCCAGTGTCTTTTCCTAATCTCCTCTTCAACTGGAAGCTGGTTCGTTTTCTCCCACAGTAGGTTGTCGCTGATATCACCGGTCAATGGACATTCACTATCTCGCATAGAAAATTGTTTAGAAATAATTTTACGTTTCTGATGATGGTTGTGATGGTCTGCAAGTTTCAACTCCATACAGGAGAACTGTCTTGATGTTCGTATTGAAGATTCTCACTTTGATATTGGTTGACAGTTATTTTGAGTTCCATATGTTCTTCAACTGTAGAAATGCTGCTCTTACTTTGGTGATCCGTATTGAACCCGCCCTACCTACTTCGATTTGAGGGACTTGGTGCTACCACTAGCCCTCACACTTGCAGTGTGGCTCATATCCGTGTACCTAGAGAATGAGTTCATATAATTTTAATTTAATATTATCTTGTGAATTTATTCATCAGTAGTGTAACCAGAAAAGAACAAAGAATATGGTCCGAAATGTCTAAATTTTAGTGAGTAAGCGGTTATAAGAAATTATTATTATCATACCATTTTTTAAGTCAACTGATAACGCTTAAGTTACAGAATACAACTCACAACACTGCAGACACATACGATATAGAGCGGTAGGTTAATGGTCAAATCAATGAGCTTTCAACTAATAGATCACAGATGCGAAGGCTGTTCCCCCTACATTGGTTCCCCACAATCAAATAATGTCACAACTGGTGTACTTCAGGGTCGAGTACATAACTGTTTATTTGATAAATGACCTACTCGAGTTATATAAGGAAAACATAATTTGTTCAGTTTTTAGTCTAGAGATGGTCAGAATAAGAAACGACATTAATCTACTAAGTTATTTGTTATAAAACTGAACAGCGTGCGGAGACTTTCCAGTTGAAATTCCCTAAATATGACAAATAATTCGTTCATCTTTAAAAATTATAATCTTATGTCAAACGTCCCACCACAAGCGATTTTATAATTTCGATAGTTTTTTCTTTTCCACTTGTTAATTTCCACCTATCGTGTAAATGTGATATACACCAACTAGAATAGATCCACATTTGTTCCAGTTCCTAATCAAGATAGTAAAGTATTGGGTCAGTAGTTAAGCTTTTCGACTTTCAGCTATTAAGTCTCAAGTTAGAACCCTGTTTGACCCACTTCAATCTAGGCACTCGAGTAATAACAATACTAGACCTCAAAATTAGAATGTAACACCAAACCAACTAATAAACTCTATCTTTCTAAGATCTATCAACATAAATGTTATTTTCAAATGTTACTGTCAATGGAACTCTTAACATTCAAATGAAAACGAGAATGACTTAAAGTATAATGAACATCTTTCAATCTAGACAAGATTTCATTGACAAAAGGGATAGCTTAAAATTCGTTAAATCAAGATGTAAGTGACATTTAATCCATATATATGTACACTGATAGATTTGAAGGAATAAATATAACTTGGGTATTTTCCGTTTTGATAATATTGTTATTAGTATGAACAAAATACCAATGATAGTGATTGATTTCAAAGTTATTCGGTATAATTTGTAAACAATTTATCATGTGAAATTTTAAAGATTGTTCATAAAAACACAAAGAATATGAGAAAATTTCAGTTTAACAACATTGAAAACAATTGAAATACAGATGGGTAAGTCAGAAATGAAGTACAATGTTTGCATACTATTTTGACCTGATTAGACTGGTCTTATTAATTT